GGTCGCGCGGCTCGTAGATAATATATAGCTCCTCCGGCGGTCGGCGGAGGACGCGAAGCGCGACGCTAAGTAGTAGGCCGCTATAGCTAAGGAGGGCGGTATAACGGCGCTATAGGACGGCGACGAAAGAAGGGGGGCGGCCGAGGGGGGTAAGGAGGCGTACTACGCTAGCGGGGCGGGCGACGTAGCGCGGCTTATCGACGTCGTCTAGAACGCCGCTAGTATAGGATAAGTTATAGCGTAGTTAACGGAGCTATTAGCGATAACGTAGTAGCTCTACTAGTTCTAGTAGTCGGCGCTTAGGTCGGCGGCCGAGCTCGCGGCGACGGTAGTAGTAGAGGAGAAGGTAGGTAGGCGGGTAAACCTACTAAGCTCGGAGCTCTCGGGGGCGGCGCTACTATAGTAAGAAGAAGTACGGGCTATTAAGTCGTAGTAGAGGAGCGCGGCGCGGGAGCGGGAGCGAGCTATCTAGGGTATCTAGGGCGGCGCGGCGGCAGCGGGCGTTAGGGCCAACTACGGCGCGGCTCTTTATAGGGTAATAGGGGGCTTCGGCGAGGACGATATAGACGTAACGGCGGCCGACGGCGACGTAGACGCTAGCACGGTAGCGGCGTATAGCTCGGCCTATTAAGCTCGTTTATTACTATTAGTAAGGAGCTAGCAGGGTAGCTTACGCTTAACGAGAAGTAGGCTATCGCCCTTATAATCGTATATCGGTAGCTCGACTAAATCTAGTAGGGCGACGAAGTATATAGCGACGGCAGCGCTTAGCTCTACTTATTTATCGGCGGCGAGGGCGGCACCGGTAAGTCGCGCGTTATTAAGGCGCTCGTCGAGCTACTCGCTTAAAGGGACCTATCGAGCCGGCTACTAGTTACGGCAACGTTAGGGACGGCGGTAGCATAGATTAACGGCATTATACTATACTCGGCCTATAGCCTTACGGTCGGTTAGGGCGGCTAGGTAGGAGGGGCAACGAGGGATATAGACGGCGTATAGCTACTAGGCTAAGGTAAGCGCTTCGTCGACGGCCGGTCGCGGATAGACTAGTAAGAGAAAAAGGTATTAGTAATTAATAAGGTTAGTATACTTAAGGCGCGGACGCTATATACCGCTAACGAGTAGTTATATAGGCTACGGGGTAAGCTATAGCGGACTCGTAAAGGAGATTCTATAGAGCCCGATATCGTACCTATACGTAGAGAGGCCGTTAGTGCTCGTAGTCGAGTTATCGTCCTACGGCTAAGAAGGATACGAAATTAGGGCAAGGTAGGAAATATAGGATATAATAGCTACGGCGGGGCAGGCGGACGGAAGCATAAGCGTAAAGTAAATATAAGGGTAGAATCGGCAGAGTATAGAGGGGAAGTTTTGCCGGGTTTATAGAGAGATAGCGGGGGCGAGGAGGCGCAGCCGATGCCTGGCGGTCGCGTACTATAGTAGGCAATACTAAAGGAGGAATAGAAGGTGCATAAGAAGGGATGCAAGCTAAAGGCAAGCTAGGGAGCTAGTAAGGGGAAGCAAGCAACGCCGCAGAGGCGGGCTTACGGCCAGCCTCACACGCCGCAACGGCCTTTGTAGAACCGCCGACTTAAGGGAGCAGAACCCTAGCTGAGGTTAACGACGGGCATATAAGACCGCCCATCTACCCGTCTAACAGAGAGTCTAACAGTAGTAGCATCGCCGCGACCCTCGTCCTTATGGCTTAGAGAATCAAGGAACGGCATATAAGATTTTATAGTAGAAAACCGTATTATCCGTGTAGAGCAATGACCGATGGGCGCGGCTAGGCTGCGCCGGGTCGGATAGGCGAGAAGCGGAATCGCCTTCCGCAATAAAGACGCCTTTCGCCGAGGCTCAACCACAGGCCCCCTGTCGCCGCTAAACGCAGCCCAAAGGTGTGGCGGCAAGCCTGCCAGGAGAGAGGAGGAAAGGGGGGGGGGGGTGAGGTTAACGAGAGATCATCCCCTTCTTTTCCGACCTCTTGTCTATCTCGTCGTCCCTCTTCATCTCGGGCTTCACCTTTTACCTCCCCGCCGTCATGTGGTTCAAGCTCCTCCGCGAGGGCAGCTGGTACGCCTTCCACAACATCCTCAAGAGTCTGATGAATGCCTTTTGCTTCCTTATCGGCATTATTATCCTCGTCTGCGGAACCTATGCCAGTCTTGTTGACATTGCGAGTCCCCCTTAGTTACTGGGTGTCCCTTTCCATTTACTGACCAAGTCTCCAGATACACCACTTCAGAAACGGCAAGGTCCGAGGCGTCTTTACATGCGCCCCCATCACCCCTTAATGTTGATGAACCATGCTGATGAGCCAGCTTCCAAAATCAATGCCTGATGCAACTTAAGGTCCAGTCGCGCCCGTTGTAAATGAGCAACACTCTTGCAGAGCGCGGGTTTGGTAGTAAAAGGCAAAACTCTGAGATGCGACAATGTAGAAGTGCTGTATAATGGAAAGCTCAGGGTTACAAACAAAATACGTCGAACACTCGTTAAATTGCCAAGGCAAGGGGCCTTAGTTTTAGCAATTAATATGCGAGCAGAACCAATCTACTACGGGGGCCGTCTTCCGGGGGGCGTGTGGCTGACCCTCCAAATCAACTAGTTGAACATTCCATTGTCACTGCCACGCGTCTCGCCCCTTCCAACAGATGGCTGGTAGTCGCTCCTATGTCTTCTCCTAGCCATCTGTAGGAATCGCTAAAACACGGCGGTATTCTAACGGCATCGCCGTCTATATCGCGGCCATTAAATTCACTGTCGCCAGTAGAGTAAAGACTCTTCTCTAGCAGGCAGTTTATTTCAGCGACCTTAGCATCAGCGATATGATAAGCGCGGCACCCCAACTCCATGCTTCGTTTGATCTTGAGCTTCACTACGGCGATGGCGATGACAACGCCCTATACATCCTATTTCCGATAGGCCGGAAAGCTATTTCAGCAGCCTTCCTAAACCGCATGGTAATCGCGGAGTTGATAGCCCCTGATGGGAATTGAGGCAATCGCGAATCTTTCTGGACGACTGCTTCCGCGGCGGTAGCGTGCGGCGGTAGCGCGCGGCGGTTATTCACCCCTGTAGTTCCGGGCCCGGGCTTGAGAAGAGCGCTTGCGGGAGCAAGCAAATTCAGCGGATGCTGAGAAACGTACGAGAAGCACGATATATTTCCGATCTCCCTTAGGTTCGCCCAAGAGCAAGCTAAGTTCGACAATTTACTAGCTCGCGATTTGGCTCAGCATTGCCCGGCACCTGCTACGCTGCGAGTTGCTCCAGGAGCTCTAGACCTATCACCACCGCTGGTCTTACCAACGACACCCGTACCCCCAGTTGCAGTCGTCAACAATATTATTACTCGCGAACTCACTCATCCTTTGCCTACACTACGAAAGAAGGCTTATCCAATGCTATGGCTGCTGGAAAAATCTCCAACTGGACAAGCAGAAACTGGCCGCAAATTGAAGTCATTTGGCCGCGCGAGGCACAATATTCATTTACCGGCCTCTACGGCGGCTTGTTGCTGTGACTCATTCTGACTTGCATTCTCTACTATCTGAAAGGCCGCAAAGGCACAAGGGACAAAGCTACGTCCAAATATGCCTACCTTATCGACCTTACACCACTACACACCAGGAACTAGACAAATCTAGAGCACATGCCTTATTTGTGTATCAAGGTGGCAGTAGCCCCAACTGGATAAGTGGGCACGGCCTTGAAGGTCCTGCGGCTACTGTGAGTCCTGAATGCGAACGTAAAAGGCTAAGCGGCTCCCCATGACGACGTGTTGCTGTCCCAAATTTGGACTTGCATCCGCATGCGTGATCTGCTCGTGGATCACATGGCCACACCTTTTAGACATGCGCCAGCAACTCAATCCGGACTAGCGATTTGCATGGCAAGAATCGGACGAAGCGGGCTCCTGTCACTGCACAATGATCTGTAGGACAGGAACTGAACGCCGCCACCACGTAACGACGTCGAGAAACCGGTATGTACTATAAGCTGCCGAATGCCGAGCAAAAGCATCGGACGGCGCACTCCCCTGACCCTGTATTCCCACAACGGTGATCTGCATCTCAAAATCCGGACGACATACGCCCCTGCCACGGTGATCTCAAGGATTGGACGGCGTACACCTCTGCCACTGCATCGCACAAACTCCATATCAGCGATCTGCCATGTCAGGAACCGGACGACCACGCGAAGAATTGGACGAAGCAGCACCCATGCTATCTTATCTGTCTACCAGCCCCGCACGACGATCTTCCTTGTCCAGTTTTGGGCGAGGCGGGCCTAGAGAAACTGCATCTGACCATACCCCGATGATCTGACCTGCTCGTCAGGAACCGGAGGACACGGTAGCGAGAGACACCACGTAACGACGCCCAAAAAATTGGCATTTGGTTTTGGCTAAATGTCCATATACTCCACTATCATACAGGGGTGGGCCATTCCCGCAATGCCGCAACACGCCCCGGCTTCACAGCAGGACTAGGCGTGCCTTCGTGCAGTGACTGCACGCCTCACATGCACGCCTCACAGCGGCAACTTTTGACCTTCAACAAATCACTTCCAAAGGGGAAGGCCAGGGTATGGGGGCGGGGAGGGGGGGATGATTGCAGGGGTGGGGTTTGGGGAGCTCATGGATAACGTACGCGGTTGTCCTCTTCTTGCCTCGCGGGCTGGCTTCCTTGTTGTGTCTCGTAGGGGTAGGGTTAGGCTGCTTGGTCTGACAAATAGGCTATGCGACTCTTACGTAGTGCCTCTCACTTCATCCATGGGCGGAAATCATCATCGTCATAATCCAATTGCAGGGGTGGTGGAGCTCCAGTTGCGACCATGTTTGCTTTCCACACCCCAACGGCAATTAAGCCTTTCACAACATGATCCGTGCTCGAAGGAAGCTGTAACAACGGGTGCTGTATGCCGTCAGAATTAATATATGCATTTGGAAGGGTTAGGTGCAGTTACCTTGACAAGGTTCTTGGTCGATGTAGCGGCAGTCAGCTCACTCCAGAAATGTATAACCTGCGACTGCTTCGGCCATTTTCTGGTGCAGTACAGTCGACCATTGAAAACCCAAGAAACATTACGTGGCAGGTGAAAGACATAAGGCCGTTCAGGACGGGATAGATGGTACCGACGTTGCACCATTCTTGGCCACCTATTTGCACGTTAGAAAGGCTTAACCTATATCATCGCGAGACATACGAATCTTGATATTCCCGGCCAGATCGGCTAGCACTTGGAACTTGTCGAACCTCGCAAGCTGAAGATCATTATCTTCGCGAAATTCTGCGCCTTGCAACACCTGCGGCCGTCAATAAAGTCCCTCGCCAGCTAGAATGCTGGAACCTACCTGGCCCAGAATTGCTGCGATGCTTAGCTCGCTAAGTTCGGCGTACGCTTGCTCACACACGTCAATTACCTTTATGGGCATAATGTCAAAATAGACGACAGCCTCGCCTATGTCTCCGACAGGGATGATGGCGTATACATTAACGAAGCTCTGGTGCCGAATGCGTCGGAGAAAAGACAGCTTCTCTGTCTGATTAGACCCAGTGAAATGACGCATGACCTTGAAGCTCCGGTAGTTGCGGTCTGATAATGAGATCTCCACAACGGTATCGCCACCGACATCTTGACCGATCATTATTATCTCCTTGTGGTCCGGCATCGAGCACAAGATGCCGCCACCGGTGGTAGAGTCGCTCATACTGTCGCTCATGGTGCCGCTCATAGAGGGAGGACAGTATTGCTAGCTTTGCGTCGACAACATAGTTGGTGCCTTTCCTCCAGTATATAGCGTAAGGGCAAATCAGATGTGTTGTGAGGGCTCCCCTGCTGGGCCCTCCCCTTTTGTCAGCCTGTGCCGCTGGGGCTACTGCCCCTCTTAGCTAGTGACCCCGTGAGTGGCCTAGAGCCCACATCACAGGCCTCTTCATGCATCCTTCTTCCTGGGCTTCCTCTAGCCTCACCACAAGATGTAAAAGCACCTTTGGGCTACATGGCAGGTTGTCGGCCTGCAGTGTAAATAATGAGAGCTGTGCCATAGGTCTAAAATAGCGCAAGAATCGATCTAGGCGTTGGATATGTTTTCTTGATAAGCAGCATTGGACAGTCAAGTCTTCCTGGAACGTTTGTCGACAAATGTAGAATCTGGCTATAATTGATGGGGCAGCCGGTAAACGAAATGAGTATTAATTGCTATTTGCACTCATGCCCCGCTTTTAAAGATACATACAGCCGCCAGCCCGCCCCACCACTTGTACCACGCCCGGGCTGGCAAGTACCCGTACCTTTCAAATGCCCCAACCCAGCTAGCCAAGCCAGCAGCAGAAATAACATCGCAGCCAGCATCACAGCCAGCATCACAGCCAGCGTCATAGCCAGCGTCACAGCCAGCGTCACAGCCAGCATTACAGCCAGCATCACAGCCAGCATCACATACTCCCATCTCCCCGATCCTGAGGCAAATCCTCAAGCGCTACCCGAGCTCAGAAACCTCTTAAATTGTTACCCGGGCACTAGGAGCCCTACCGGGCGTCGTGAAGGCATATGACTGGAGGGGTTATGACAAAGTCGAGGTTAAGCGCTGCTACGCCTTACGGGGGACTGCGTACGGAGGAAGTACTTCGTATGTATGTACACTGCAATATGTCCTCGGTACCTGCTGCCGTCTCCTCGATCCGTCGTCAAAGGGCAAAAAGGTCGTCAAAGGTTAGATGCTCATCCAAGGTGCACTCGCTCTTTTGCCGCATCTTTTCCTCGACGAACCCGTTAATCCCTTCCCTCTCCTCGTCACTTAACAGAGACAGTCTATCCTCTAGCGCATCTAAGCGACCAAAGAACTTTTCGTCCAGAAAGGTCCAGTAGATATCGTCAAACATAAAGCTCTTCCTAGCCGCGAGGCAGAGCCAGAACATGCCATTCGTCATAGAGGCCGCCATGGGCCCCGATAGCCGGTCCGACTCGTGCATAGCCCCCGCCTGTATCCGGGAGTCCTCACAGGCCCTCATCTCTTTGAGGAAGAGCTCGAGGCGGGGCTGATAGCGCTCGAGGAATTCCGAGAGATCCGACTCCCACGCCTCGGGGCTCTCGAATAATAGCCACCAGGGGGCCGCCTGGGAGAATTCCACAGGGGCAGAGTAGGCGAATTCCCAATCAATGACGGCCTCGACAGTAAAGTCGGGTTCCGAGACGAGGACATTGGCGGGACGTAAGTCATCGCAGTATAGTCGAAACGGCCCGCTTTGTGCTGGTATCTGTCTCGTGATATTTCGGAAGAGGCATCGAGCAATATACATTTTTCGACAGCTTTGCTCGTCCTCAATAGCGTTATTACGCTGGTGCTTGAGATGGAGAAAGTGTTGTCTAGCAAGTTCCTGGAAATATTTCGATGCTGTCGGGAAGTTGGTGTTGATCTGGGTAAGGTCGCTAGGGGGGTAGTTGCCAACGCGTACAAGCTCATTCATGTTAAGCGTTAGGGGTCTGTTACCTACCTTCCACTGGCCAGGGACGTGGGCAATGGCCCCTATACGTGGAAAGGGGAGTTGATAAAGCTCTAGCAAAATGTCTGCCATTGCCCGGTAGGCCCGGCTAAGTGCTAAAGATGAGACCTGTGGATCAAGGCCAGAAGTTTGGCCAGGTGGATATGGTAGACATTTGGAGAGAAGAGTGCCCTCGATAAAGGTAGAAACAATATAAGGGCCGCACTCCCAGGCGCCGGCGCCAAGAATAGTAGGGATTGGGATCTTGGTGCGAGAAGCGAGATACTGCATGACGAGAAGCTCGTTGTCCGTTTTCTCCACGCGGAATATGCTTCGGCCAAAGATAGGGAACCGGACGATAGCCTTAAAGCCGTCTTCAAAAGTGACTATATAGCATATATTATAGGAGCCAGTTATTGCATTTGAGATGACAGTTGTATCCATATCAGGCCGGTGTTTCTTGGCGAGCTTAAGGGGTAAGGCCGGCGATTGCTTGAACAGGATCCTGAGCCAGCTGGCAAAGTAACGCTGCGACTTTTCTTCGGCCAGGTGATCCCAATCCATTGCGTGATGACGTGCTGCAAGAGACAGTTGGGAGATATAAGGCGATGCGCTGCTGTCGGGGACGATACGATGGACCGACTCGTGTCAATGGATGCAAGAAAGTGATGGAAGCGAGAGGAGATCGGAATGTTCTCTCAGAGGGGACGCTCCTAGGCATTATTAGCGTTAGCAATGACTAATGATTCGGGTCTTTCGTTAGTCCGTATGAGCAGCAAATGCGATACATGTACCGATACTTCGAAGTACCGTGTAGCTTTGGCAGCCCCGAACCCCTTGTGGGAAAGAGAGACCGTTAGCGTGAACAGGGGCGTCGCTTAGGCCAAAGGAGGGGGGGTACAAAAGGCCCATCTTTTGGGCGTGGGTAACTTGCTCCATACATCAATACGCCTCGTCTTCTGCGCATTTCCCCCTTGAGTAACTAGTGCAAAGGTTCGGCCATGCGCCACGCATCAATGTGGGGTAGCATGCGATTGGTTCCGCTCATCAAGCGAGTCGTGAGACGACTTGGTGAATTGAGACGACTTGGTGAATTGAGACGACTTGGTGAATTGAGACGACTTGGTGAATTGAGACGACTTGGTGAATTGAGACGACTTGGTGAATTGAGACGACTTGGTGAATTGAGACGACTTGGTGAATTGAGACGACTTGGGAATTGAGACGATTTGGTGAATATTCTACCAGGCGAGGCACCTAATTTCTGACCCAACCCGTAGCTGCGGCCCGATTACTCCTCCCATAACTTTCACCCTGTGGCGCCATAACAAAACTTGCACCTGGCAGCATTATTCAGCTTCGAGCACCGACTTGGCCCCTGCTAAGCCCCGGAAACCGTCAAAGAACCTGGAACAGTACTGCTAGACCTTGCAGCCGTCTTTGCCACCGCAGCAGGCATCTCTTCAACCCGTGTCTCAATTTTCTGTGGAGATAAGGCACCCTGATCACTGCAGCTTTACTTCATGAGCAGTTCCCGAGCCTGCGACGAACTTTTTGTAAGTAAGCTTCTTAGATTGCCTACAACATGTTGCTAAGAATCCCGACGCAAGGGTCGAAGAAGCTCGCGTTTACTCAATCATGGCTGCAGATGATGCTCTATCTGGAGTAGAAGTACACATTAAAAGCCACCATACGTTCCAGGTTACAACTTAAAAGCTTGTCCTTGCGAAAGGGAAAACCATCATGGTATTCCCACCCAGGCAGACACGAGCTGAATGGTGGGGGCAAGATACCGCTGGTACTGCTGTTGTGAATTGTTGTGGTCAAATGATCCGTCAGGGCTTTGGGTGAATTGAGAAGTTGTTCGGCGGGCAAGATGGGTGTTAACGGAAGATCGGAGATCTGCAAAGAGGGTCTCGATCTTTTCTGCGGACTTAAAGAGAGCGTATTCAAGTTCAGGTATACCACGGCAAGCGATGATTACCGTTTTACGCAGGGGAATGTTTCCTGCGTAGTCATGGCCGAGGGCGCGTTGACAAAGTTGACGCTTATCGAAGGGTAATTAGAGTACTTTGTGGAGGGTCTTAGTAGCATCCTGGGCACGGATCGTGTTAAAGGTAGACTTCCGTGTCAAAGTGTTGTTTGATGCTATCGTATGCCTTTCGAAACGTAGTAGTCCATTTGATCTTGTGGGTGTAGCTATTTTGAGACGTGCATTTACTCCCCTCGAGAATAGCATAGTGGAGCCTCGATGAGCAGAAACTGCCATTTTAAATAGGAACCAATGAAAACAAACTCTAGAGTCATCCACCAGATAAGTAGCATGCGGAAATCCATGGCAAAATACGATGAGAAATTTGGTTGCCATTCCTCTCCCTAGCCAACTACATGGATGTGCGAAACAAAAGGCTATATAAGTAACCACCCGGTTTTCTTGCAAACCGTTGATCTTTGACATGACAGGTCACTTCTTGGGCTTGCGCCTGATGGTGCTGGCGGTAGCCGCTTCAATCATGGCCCTTCGTTCGGATTCCGGAATACTGTTGATTACCTCTTGCGTCCTGGCAAGCTCCCTCAGCTCAGCTTTTAGCTCTTCGGTTTGCTCAGCGGACGGTACAGTGGAGGCCGTGATCTTAATTTGGACCTCGCGGCTGGAGTTGCTTATGAAAGAAGGGACATTTTCAATAGATTCTCGGTTCTTAACATAAAACGAGTATATGGAGCTCAGCGTATCCCGGGCTCGCTTGACCTTTCTCTCAGAGTCGCTCATGTTGGTCGTTTGGAGGAATGCAGAGGCCTTATGGGGAACGAATTGCCAGAGAATTGAGAGATCAAAGAAGAGGATCCGCAGATGGTGATCAAGGGTCCGTTGGTGATGGGTGGAAGAAGAAAAGGATAGGGAGAAACTGGTGTATTTATATTAATCACTTAGCAGTAACAGCCTCCTGTCCTGTCCTGAGCACGGCCACACAATTCATCGACACTCTCAACTTTGCTTAGACATACCACTAAAAGACGGATTCGTCTCGTGGTGGTACCGTGGTACATTTACTGGAAAGGGTAACAGGTCCGCTGCACCCTGCACCTAAGGAGTGGCGCAGAGCACAACGCCCCGTTATCATGAGTCACATAGCATGGTGGTTGGATAAGGACAATGGTCTCCGCAGTACGGTCTCTTGTCCTTGCACATACGAAGGGTCATGGTCGCCTTTCTCCTCTACATTAGGAGCCCGGCAGGGACTTTGGTAAGTGCATGTATGCATGGATGGGCATTGCCACGTAGGCAACACACCAGCGGATGTACGCCCAAAGAGGGACCCTAGGCCTGGCGCGTTCATGGCTACATATACTCTTCTCGGGATGGCAGCCGCACGCTTGCTTGTAGAGCTGCCATGCATGCATAGACGCTGAACCAAATACAGCAACATGTATACAGCAACATGTATCCACTTTGCAAGATGGCGTAACCAACGGCAAATTTTTTTTTATATCATTACTCGCATGCAGCCTCTAGGGCCATGGCGAGGCTAGTAGGGGCCTAGGCCCCTATTAGCAGTCCTAGCTAGCTATAGAGCCCGGGGGCTTACAACTAATTAGGGAAAGGGTAGCTATAAAGGCAATAACAAAGGAAAGATTAGTCTGGTTCCTCCCGCGCGGTGATTTTCCCACCCAAGGGCCCTGGGGCCCCTAGGTTACTCCTTTTCGAGCCACTTAGCTGTCCCTATCTCTGTTTTAGCTAAGAAGGTTAGAAGGGCTTCCCTTCCTTCCTTAGAGCTATAGAGAATAGGTAGGCTAAGGGCCCCCTTCTATCTCTTAAAGGTCCGGTAAAGGACCTCTCTTTCCCTCCTATAGTTCGGGCACCTTAGGATAAGGTGCCTAGCCGTATGCCTTCCTTAGCCGTAGCGGCAGTCGTCTCGGTCTACCTTATTAGTCCTTTTTAGGAAGGAAAATAAGAAGCCGGCCTTAAAGAGGAGCTAGTAGAAGGCCGAGAGGGTCGGCCTAGGCCTCCCTATAAGGTCCTTTTCTAGGCTAAGGGCTAGGCGGGGGGTCTTTCGAATAGACGTATAGTGCTTACCTAGGCCCTTAGCCCTAGGGCCTTTAGCCGCCTCGGTAGCTTAGAGTCCCTTTTAATAGTCCTTAGTAGCTTGCTAGACCTTTCTTTATAAGTAGCTAATAGAGACTAAGGGGGTCCCTTAGGTAGGGGCCCCTAAGCCTCTTTTAGCTAGCTAGTCGGCTAGCTCGTTACTAAAGATCCCTAGGTAGCTAAGGCACTAGTATAGCTATATATTAAAAAAGGCTTCTAAGCTAGATAGGAGCCTTTTAATATATATAGCTAGGTCTAAGAAACTTATAACTTTCTTTATAGCGGCTTAGCTATCTATAAAGATATAGGTATCTATAAGGGGGTTAAGAGGGCTAAGCTTTAGGGCCGAGGGCATAGCTAGGTCCTCTAGGACCCTTAGTATCGCGAATAGCTCTACGTTAGCTACTTCGATCGAGGGCCCTAGGTTCTCGTAGTACGCCTTAATAGGCCTATTTTCTAGGCCTATTTCGTAGAAGGAGTAAGCGTTAGTCTTTATAAGGGACCCCTTAAGGCACCCCTTAGAGCTATCGGTATAAAAGGCTAGGGGCCGTAACTTAAAGTCTTCTAGGCTAGCTAGGCTAGCTAAGAAGCGTTAGTATTGCTTCTTAGCTAAGGGCTTAAGGGCCTTTATTATTATAATAGAGGCCTTAGGCTCTAAGGCCTATAAGGGCTCCTAGCTAGCTTTCCTTCTTTCTAAGTTATAATTAGGTCTTATAAGGGCTACTAGGCCTTTAAGGAGGTAAAAGAGCTACGTATATAGCCTAATATAGCTTAAGGCCCCTAGGTCGGAGCTTAAGTTAGCGAGGTTATCCTATATAGCTAGGTCGTAAGCCTGCCTTATAGGGTAACTAGGTAAAAAGTATAGGGTCTAGAGGGCGTAGGAGAGGCATACCCTTTTAAATCGTACCTCTAGTAGCGGTAGGGCCGCTTCGGCTTCTAAAGCCTTAATAGGGGATCCTTTAAAGGCCCCTAAGACCTTTAAAAGAGCTTAGTTTTATAGCCTTTAGAACGGCTTTATAAGGCTCTTAGGGGTCTTAGGCCCCCTATACTAAAGCTAGGCCCTATAGTCTATTATAGAGGTTACGTAGGCCTAGTAGAGCTGTTTAGAGGCTTTAAATAATAGGCCTTTTTACGTAGAGGTTAAGCGGGATAGTCCTTTAAAGGCAGCTTATATAGAGGCTACCTTCTTCTCAATATATTATTTAAATAGGAGCCTAAAATTAAAGAAGACCCCTAGCTACCGTATTAAGGGCTTTACCTTAAAAAATAAGCCTCCTACTATTATACCCTTTAAAATAGGCTGCCGTTACCTACTAAAGTAAATAAGTTCTATCTTTAAGGGGTCGAAGTAGACCCCTTAGTCTTTAGCTTATTTAAATAGGTTAGCAGCTATTGCTTCTAGCTATTAAACGTTCTTCTTAGCCGAGGTCGATGTTATAGAGATACTAAAGTTATCTATATAAGACAGCTAGTATCCCTTAGCCGCTAGTATCCCCCTTATATATAAGAGGAATAAAATAAGGCTAATAAGGGACCCTTAGGGCACTCCTATTACTAGGTCTATAAGGGGCTAGACTTACCCCTCGAAGGCTAGCTAGATCTTCCTTTTAGTAAGGAAGTAGTCTACCTAGCTTATAAGGGCCTTAAAGAGGTTTAATTCCCTTAGGAACCTTATAAGCTATTCCTTTAATATAAAATCGAAGGCGCCCTTTATATCTAATAAGAGGGTACTAGTAATAGCCTTCTTATTAGACTCCCGCTTCTTTTAGATATAGTATAGAAGGAGGAAGGCCGTGTCTATAGCTAACCGCTATTTTCGTCCTCCTAGCTACGTAGGGTTTAGAAGCCCGGCCGTATTAGCTAAATAGCTTAGCTAGGTAGCGTATAGCTTTTTAAGGACCTTTCCTAAGTAGTTAAGTAGACTTATAACCCTATAAGCCTTAGGGATAGTATAGTCTAGCTTATTTTACTTAGGAAGTATAATTCTTATAGCTTCCTTCTATGCCTTAGGGTAGTATCCTTAGTTAAATAGAGCTTTATAGGCCCTATTAAAGACTATAGGGATAGCCTTATATACGTATTAGATAGGGAGGAAGCTAAGGGAGTCTAGGCTAAGGGCTTTCTTATTAAAAGAGCTAAAAATAGCCCTCTTAATCTTAGGGTCCTTTAGCTCTAGCTAGTCCTACTTAACCGTGCCCTTACTACCTATATAGCCTAGGGGCTCTTCTTTTTCTAGGCTCTAGGAGGGCTAAAGGGAGGGCTAGGGCTAGGGTCTAGGGTTAGAAAAAGGGTTATTAAGAAGGCCTCGTATTTTTCCGTAAAGGTATTAGCTTTTACCTCTATCCCTTTTTTTATATATAAGATACTAAGAAGGGTAGGGTTAGTTCTAGCCTTAGTATAAGAAAAGGCTATAAAGACGTCCTTTCCTACTACTTCTATTAAGAAGCTCTCTTAGTATTACTTTTTAGTAGCCTTAATAGTATACTTAAAGCTATTTCGGGCCTCTATAAAGCTCTTTTAGCTCTTCTTATCTTAGGCTAGCCTATAAGCCTATTAGGCTAGGCTTAGGGCTTTCCGAAGGCAGGTTAGCTCGTCGGTCTACTAGGGCTTAGATCCCTTATAAGGCCTCTTTTTTAGTATCGCTATATTTAAGGCCTTTATAAGGGTTCTTATTAAAAGGGAAGCTATCCCTTCTAAGTCGTCTTTTTTTATAGCCCTCTTTATAGCTATAAGGAGGTCCTATTCCTTCTTAGCTAAGTATTTTAAAAACACCTTTTAGTTTACTTTCCTATAATTATAGGTAGTAGGCCTAGCTAGTAGGGGCCTATTAGGGCCCCTTAAGCTAGCTTTAAAGGCTATAGGCTTATAATCTAAGCCTAGCCTTTAGAACAGTTAGCCTAGGTTAGCTATTTAAAAGGGCTATAAAAAGTAAGGTCTATAACTAAGGCCCCCTTTAAGCCTTTCCTTTAATAGGTGCCTTTTATAGCTACCTTAAGGTCCGTTAGTAAGGAAGCCTTATAGCGGTCGAGCTAGCTAATAAGGGCTTCTACCTTATAGGCTTTAAAGGGTTCTATAAAAGGGTTCTATTAAGGGTAGTATAGGTTAAAGTCCCCTACTAAGAGGAAGGGCTATTATAGGAGTTAGGCTATTAATAGTAGCCTTTCTATTATAAGGGGCCCTTACTAGCCTTAGCTAGCTAAGGCCCTTTTAACCTCTTTTTCGTTATATAGGTTAATAAGGGTAAATAGTTCGATGCCTTCTACCCTTATAGCCTATATATTAAGATCGTAAAAGAGGTTAAAGCTAGGGCTAGCTTTTATCTAAGCTTCCTTCCTCTTATATACTATAACCCTAGGCTTCCTAGTAAGCTTAGGGAAGTTAGTAGAGGGGATAGGGGTTATAACGTTATAGGCCGGATACTATATAGGGATATAGCTTTTATCGATCTTATAGAGGTAGGGCTCTTATAATAAGATAAGGTCCGCTCTTATTTTTAAGGCTTACTCTAGGATCGATAGGTTAGCTATTTCCTACCTATTAGTATTATACTATATAATACTAATAGGGTTATAGTTAGGCCTAAGGGGCCTAAAGGGGTTTAAGGGCTCTATAGGTATAAGGGGGCTAAGGCTATTAAGTATTAGTTATTCCTTTATAAACTCCGTAATATACCTTATTAGTTATAA